AAATTTCGACCCATCTCTATATACGAATCCTAGGGGTAAGATTTTGACATGAATTTCGACCCAAAAATATGTGTTCAGATTTAAATGTCAGATTATTTTAGAGGGAAAACCATGAACAAAAAGCCAAGCCTCATGAAAATCGGTTGATTTTTGGCCGAGTTATGGAGGTAGGAAATTTCGACCCAACTCTATATACGAATCCTAGGGGTAAGATTTTGACATGAATTTCGACCAAAAAATATGTGTTCAGATTTAAATGCCAGATTATTTAAGAGGGAAAACCATGAACAAAAAGCCAAGCCTAATGAAAATCGGTTGTTTTTTGGCCGAGTTATGGAGGTAGGAAATTTCGACTCATGGTATATACGAATCCTAGGGGTAAGATTTTGACATGATTTTCGACCCAAAAATATGTGTTCAGATTTAAATGTCAGATTATTTTAGAGGGAAAACCATGAACAAAAAGCCAAGGCTTATGAAAATTGGTTGATTTTTGGCCGAGTTATGGGGGTGAGAACCACCATGTCTACTTACGACTCTTAGGGATAAGATGAATAATTTGTTATTGTATCTAAATGCACGCAGTCGAAATACTTTTGTATCTGTAGGATCTTGATTAATATAGGTAGAGACTAGGCACTGTGACATTGTTTATCGTACATCGAATGTATGCAACGTTTTTTAATTGGATCTAAATGCTGAGATACTTTTATATCTAAAGAATATAACTTATATTTAATTAAAAAAAGAAACTAAACTTCGTGACATTGTTTATTCTACATTGAATATATTTGTGATAAAGTTTAGTTGTATTTAAATGTGACCCAGCATTTCAGATACTTTTGTAACTTTATATCTATATCTATATAGCTTATATTAAATAAAAAATTAAAGAAGGCTTTGAGACACTTTTAATCTTAAATAAGGTATTCACAGCTATATTTGAATTGTATACAAGTGTTCGGCTAGCTAGATACTTTTGCATGTAATTCAAGCTGGTTATATAATTGTATCTATTTTACCATATACCCATTAATTTTCTTTGAAGCGCAACTGCAAGCCTGTGTGTGTTGTGTGTTTCATTAACACTTTGGCCGAAAGGTGCGTAAAAAGGCGGCGCAGTGGCTGCCGCCTCCATCCAGCCCGGAACGCTTGGCTCGATGGCTGGGCATGTGTTTTAGATTCACAAATGAATGCGTCTGGCTGTTGCCGTCGGGTGCCTAAAGAGCCGATGATGCACCATGCCCCATGCCACATGCCTCATGCGGCAAATACATGCGCGTATATGGTGTGTGCTGCATATGGATTTAGCTGTAGGGCCCCGTCATGGTCAAAGGAAAAAAGCTTAACGAATGTAACGTTGCGCCTGTTATTGGCAACTGGCAACGGCCTGTGTGTGTGCGTGTGTGAGCGTGTGTGCGTGAGTGTGTGTGTGTGTGTGTCGACGTCGACTATTTGAACATGACCAACAGCTATGCCCCAGCCTACATGAGTCTCTGCGCCTTCGCTGGCGCAACAGAGACTCGAGTTGCAAATGCCGCACGGCTTGCACCTAATATGCAAACACACACACTCACACATACATACACGCACACACACAGACGCCAAAGCAGACGCAGACGCAACCCAGAGGCGGGTGGGGCTTGGTTTTAGGCAGGGGCTACCTCGTCTAACCATATCGAGCCGTGTGTCTGTTGCGGTCGCCGTTAGCAACGCGTTTTCTCTACAACTGCACACAGATACACGCACACACACACACACATATATATATATATATATATATATTAGATATATATAGATATGGATATCGTGCGTTAGGAAAATGCATTTATCTCTTGCAGTCTGCGCCTAGGTTCTAGGCTAGGCTCGGGTTTTTGGCAGCGTTAAAAATTTTATGCATTTGGGCAACAGCCCGAAGGCGGCGGGGCGCGGCGGAGCTCAAGAGCTGCCCGCAGAATGTAGTCATCTATCTGGAGTATATAGAGGAGCACACACACACACACACACACACACATACACAGGCAGTCTGTCTGCGTGAAGCTGGGCATTGCGTATACGCACAGGATGTGCGCGGCTGCACAATGTGCGCCCATAACTAGGCAGCAATAATTTTTACATCTTTGCTAATGCACACACCCACACACACACTCAGAAACATCTACACCTACTCACACACACACACACACACACACACACACTTAAGCAGGCTTTAATTGACGCTTGGCCACTTTACAACTATTTTGACGCGCAAATTGCCGTCCAAATGCAACTTGAGCTGGCGAAATGTGCGGCGCCCAATTATGCAAAAGGCGTTCCAAAGGGCTGCAGCACTCGCTGCCGAGCGTAAATTAATGAACACTGGCGCCGAAACAACAACAACAACACGTACAACACTTGCAACAATAATAACAAATCGCTGGCCAGGTCGATAGTAATTGCCAAAGCAAATAATGCAGCACACAAGTCAGCTGACTGCGCCGCAGTCAAACCCTCCCTCACCCCTACCCCACCCCCCATCAACACACTACAATAACTAACTAAATATATATATATATATGTGTGTGTGTATGTGTGTAGAATTCACTTTTGCAATATGTAAATGATTTCAATGGAAAGCTGCCACACAGACCCCAGGCGCAGACCCAACGAACCCAACTAAACTCAAACTCAACAAAAAAAAAAAAATAGTATAAAATAAAGCAGAAAAGAAAACTAATAACAAATTACGACAAACGGCCAAAGCAAAGAAGAACAAGCAACGCAAAACTAGCGCAGAGCACAACGAATTATGAATACTCTAAGCAGTTAAAGCATATTCACAACTCAGAACCAAATGTGCATATCTAAACAAATCAATGCCTAAATAACTCGCGTTATAAAAACTTTCTAGTCTTTCTTTCTGTTGCATAACTTTAAAATAATATGAATCTAACCTTGACATAATTTCACCTTATTTTAATATAAATAGTTCTAAACTTAGCCCGAATTATTTACCAGAACTTGATTTGATATGGAAAAAATATCGAACTCCTTCAAGCATGTTCCGACACAATTACAGCTTTCATTTTCAACCTAAAAGATATTGGCTTTCTACCTCAACTTAGGCTCAACAAAATTGAACTTAATCCCGATATAGCTTACAATAAACTCAGAATAAAGAGTTTGCTTATGCTGTATTTGTTAGAACTATGATACAAAGACTAGAATTCCGAATTCTCCAAATTCTATGACCAAACCTTAGTGTGAATTATATTGTATAATAAAAAGTTGAATAGCGACTCATTCTCATCAGAAAAGTTAATTAACTTGTCGTAAGGGTAAACGACATGAAAGCAAAGCCAAATGAGCTTGGCTGCAAATGCAAAAAACGCGCGAGAAATATGGAAACACAGCGAAAGAGAGAGCGAGAGGGGGAGAGGGGGAGAAAGAGAAAAATTAATTCATATCCGGTACATGATTATACACCAAAACTCTAAGAAATCTATAATCTATGTGTGGATGCAATTTGTAATTTGTAATTCTCATTTCGCGCTGGCAACAACAACTAATTGAGTGTTTGGGGCAGCGATTACTTCGCCGAAAGGGGTTCACAATGTGGGCGTGGCGCAATGAAAGAAAAAAAGACGAATATATATATATATATATTAATATATATATACACGTATATGTATATATAAAATATGTAAATCGTAAAGCTCAAATGAGCCAACGACGCATTTGGCTCAGTTTCAGTTGTTACAAAAGGTTGACAGAAGATATTTAAGCTAAGTGCAACCCCTAACAAAGGACGGGGGGGAAAAAAAACAACAAGCTGCCACCACCAAAAGCACTTGAGGGCTATTTAGCATAAAAATATAATATATATATGCATATATATATATATATATACATATATATATATGTGAAGCAAATAAAGTATTTGAGCTGCAGACAATGGCACATGTATAAAATAATCGCATAAGTTTAATGCAGATGGCTGAGAGATGGTCGCTAGCCCAAAACCGGGGGCGGCAACTTTATGTGGCATGCTACACACACACACTCACACTTACGTACGTGTATTTACATATATTCATAATTTAAGTGTGTTCCATATCTCATCGCCGCGCAAAGTGCGTGGCTTAATAATGCTGCAACCCGTTGCCGCACACACCCTGACACGGGGTAGCACTCGATTGCAGAGCAACTGGTAATTTATAAAAAGAGATTCCAAGCTGACGATAAGAATACAAAAGTTTGGCTCGAAAACAAATAGAAATATTCAAAGTGGGCATCGGCCTGTACGCAGGTATGGGGCGTCATAGAAGAGGGGATTGCAATCAGAATTTGTAATTTTTTTTTGCGAATGGAGTTATGAGAATTCTTTAAGCTAAAAAAGTAACTTTTTATATATATATATATATATAGCTCTGACTCTGGCAGTCTCCCAGTTCAATGAGGTCATGTGGTGCACAAGGGAGGAGCACAGATTTTGTGTAGATAAGTATCTTGTGACTTGGCTATTGTACAGATAGATTATATATATTAAGCATAATGAGCACATCTCTTGTTTAGATAATTGTCTAGAGATTGGGCTATTGGGGGTTGAAGAAAAACTTAGAATATATGAAGAAAAACTCTGAGATTGAATGCGTCATACAAAAAAAAAAAGGGATGACGAATGTATATAGATCTATATCTCAATTTATCTTAATGATTATATATTAGATGAATTCGGTTAATTCATAGAGTAATGCATTATAAAATTCAGTCTTCTTTTGTAGAGATAAAGTAAAAATATATGGCTATTAAAAAAGTTTTTTAAAAAAAACTTACCTTAGTGCGGAGGAAAATATCTTCTAATTGTTTTATTTATCACTTATTAATCTTTCATTGCTAACACACACACTTAAACCACATGCAAGTACTAATAATTTACTTATTTTAAGTTCTTTTTTCTCACTTTTTTCCCACTTTTTTCACTTATTTCACTTTTGTACACTATTTCACTTTTTTTCCACTTTTTTCCGCCCATTTTCACTTTTAGCTGCGACTATAAAACACTGAAAGACACAAATAAAGAAAATTAATTAATAAAATATTATAACCTAAGGGTTTTGCAGATTTGTAAGATATTTTATAAAAAAATTATAGTACCCTCTACAAGAGTACCAAGAGGCAAAGCTCCGGCTCAGCATTATATATGCTTATGTGTATCAGATTTAGTTAAATAATTCTATGGCTAGAAATTAAATTTTAAATCGATTCTTAGAAAGTTCATAGTCTACTGACAATAGTAAAGCTCAATTGGGCTGCGATAAAATTAAAAAATAAAGTTTTTGTTTTAAAAAATTGTGTTTGTGCGACTTCGCATCGGCAAAGTCCCCTCCGCAAGCAAAATGAGAGACAACTATGCGAAGTTCCTTTTTTGAGAATTCACCCAAAATTAAGGTTGAAGCTAACCATAAAAATAGTTATCTAACTAAAATATATGTATTTCTTATATCCTTACCTCGGCAAAGACTTAAACTTCCATGAACCTCTGGGCAAGTGCATTGCCTTCTGCCACACACACACACACACACACACAGCCATAATTCATAAACAAAACTTTTACAAATATAATAATTCAACTAAAACAAAATGAAATTGTTTTCCCAACAATAACAAACGATATAACGCAGGCTAAGAAAACTGCGTGCAGCATCTGAAAAACTTTTTCACACGTTGCAGGCAACTTTTGCAGGGGGGCAAGGTTGAAGGGGCGAAGAATCCGAGCGCGGGCATAAATTTCGCATGCAATGGATTTCTCAAACCCCACGCCAAAAAAAAAGAAAACAAAAAGAAAAACTATGCTTGGAGTACAGAAAATGCTCAAGAGCAGCTGATAAAATCGATGCGCCAGCGAATGCAACCAACTTAAAGGCAGACAACTTTGAACCCGCAACCTGCGCACATATTATTAACCGCGCCAAGGCAACGCGTTTTTTTTTTTTTTTTTGATGCGTGCTGCTGCATTTCACGTGCGGCTGCAGTTTTTTCCGCGCCGCAGTCGCACACACAAAAATGCAGTTGAATGCAGATACTGCGCCAAAACCAGGCGAGCAGAAAAACCAGCCGGCAGCTGCCCTCCGATGTGCAGCGCAAGCTTTCGAGGTCGACGCCAAGCGAAATGCAGTCGCAGTCGCAGTCTCAATTTCAGCAGCGATTCCCCCTCTCTCTTAAGCTGCAGTTCGTCCCACACACTTTGTTTGCAGACGCAATCGCAGTCGCACTCGAAGTCGAACTGAAAAGTCGCCGAAGATGTTCGCCTTAAGAAAAGCGCGCGCAAAATTTAGCGTCTGCTTTGCTAGTGTGCGTGTGTGTGTATATAAATGTATGTGTGTGTGGAAGGAAACTGTGTAGCACAAGTATATGACGCCATCGTCTCAAGTTTTAGTTGAGTTTTCCTTTTGAATAGCTTTCGGTTTTGGCTCGGGGGCTGCCCTTTGCTTCTAACGCACTTGCAACACACAAAAACAACAACAACAATGAGAAGTAGAAGAAGAAGAACAACAACAACAACTACTGACTACACGTAATTTGTTTAGTTGGCTTTCGTCATCAGTTTTATGGAGGTTACGTCTGATGGGTTTATTAATTTCTATACCCTATGAAAGCGTGTCTAAGCACGCGTAGATTCTACATTTATATAGAAAGTTTGTTAAAATTATGCTTTTACGCATTTTTAGCAAGTGTAAACTGAATTTCAAAAAACCTTTTTGTTTTTCAAAAGCATGAAAGGTGGTTTTCTAATGCATCAACTGGTTTTGAGTGCAGGGTATGCTCAAGTCAAAGTGGCTAGAGCACACTTTAACAAATAGTTTGACTTGTGTTTCTTTGACGCTATTATTTGACTCTCAACTACCCTTCGTAAATGGATTTATTCATGAGCTCAGTTCTTGTTGTTGTAGTTGTTGTTGTTGTTGTTGTTGTTATCGTGACTTTGTTGTGCGTGTGCAGCAAGTTGTCTGCTGTTGTTGTTGTTGCTATTGCCCTATACAAATAATCAATAAATCTAATTCAATTATTATTATAATTATATTTTGAACATTCATAGACATTTGTATAAGGCTGACTAAGCATTTTCTTGGTAAATAACATATAATAATATTATGAGCGTGCACACACACGCACACACCCACACACACACACACAGTAGCAAGGGCTGAGTGACACCCTCGTTAATTATTCAAAAGCCAGGACCCAGTCGCAGGATTCACGAACCTACCCAGGCCCACTAATAGCCCTCTATAAGTGTGTGTGTGTGTGTGTGTGTGTATCTACATAGATAACGCATGTAAACTAACTATTGTTGTTGTTGTTGTTGCTGCTGCTGTTGGTATTGGAACAAAATTCATTAGTCCGCATAATGAATAAACATAAAGACAAATAAAATTATTCCAATTAAAATAAATTGCGCAGCAATATTAAAATAAATTCCCATTTCAAGGCAATCGCCCGCAACTGATGACGCCGCATCTAATTAGGGGAAAACATGGGGGCATATATATATATATATACATACAGATATATAAATACATATATGCATAGAAGAAGAAATTGTCCGACGTGAATGTTGAGAATGCAAGTAGCTTGTGTAATTCGCGTTAATCTCAGAAAGAAAGAGACGGAGAGAGAAGGAGAGGGCGAAAGAGAGAGAAAGAGAGAGAGAGAGAGAGAGAGAGAGAGAGAGAGAAAGCCGTAAGCGCTTTATCTATCTGAACAACTTGTCTCAGGCCAAACACATTTCTGCTAAATTTGAACCAGCGATTTAGCGCTTGCTAGTTCGACGCTCAGCTGTCAATCAGTCGTTCCGTCAGAACACACTCTTTAACAGATATAAATATATGTATTTCAGTTCAAGTTGAAGTTCAGCTTCATCCAATTAATCCGGCTCAAACCTTCTCGGTTCAAACTTCGTTTGCCGCCTCGGCAGATATGTTGCATGCTACAACAAAGTGCTGCAACTTTAAGTGCTTTTGCACATCAAAATGGAGCAAATATTTTATTGTAATTATGCACCTGCAGGCAATACCTCCAAGCTGCCCCCTTCCCCCTCCCCCAACCTATACGCCACACAACCCCCCTTTGACAATTAAACTTTTACAGCGCAGCGCAGCGCAGGCATTTGCCAGTTTCTTCAACTTCTAATGCCGCCATCTGTAGTCGCAGCTATAAAACTGACATTGTTGCTGAATTATATTTAATTAAATTTTATTGCACGTCGTCTTCATTAAAGTATAAAAAGTTGTGCGTGTATGTGTGTGTGTGTGAGTACATTGCATGTTGCAGCTGCACTTGCCGCTTGGGAGGCCGCTTTTGGGGCCTGTCTTTTAATGCTTGCAACAAAATATTCCTATTGTAAATACAGCAAGTCGAGCGCCAGCAACAGGCCAACCCCCCCCCCCCCCCCCCTCCTTTTATTTATCCTTAAGCACCAGTTGCAATTTCATGCCCCTCATCCTGCTCCTGCTTATACCCCCGCTTCCCTCTCTGCCTCATCAATGTTGCCGTCGTCGCCGTCTTGGCGGTCATAAAAGCATTTCTAGCTTGTTTAATGTTTATTTTATAGTTTAAGTTTGCATTTATTTGGTCTTTTAGTTTTTATACTCAGTCGATGATGCCAAAGACAAAGCAACAAAGTGCACACAAAGTAAAGAGAAAATGTCACGAATAGAAATACCCTACAATCAATATAATACAAATAAATTGTTGCCTAATGCAAAGCACAAATTGTGAATATGCCCAATTCAAATTTATATATAATTATCCATTACCATAAAGAAAATTTAGAAAAGAATCGAACGATATCTTGGCTTTAATGTGGATTAAATTATTTGATTTAAATTAATAGATATCTTAATTTATATCTCATATTATATTATTCCAACAAATTCTTTGCTTGATATCTGAATATAAATTAATATAGATTGATATTTTGACTTTCAAGTGAATTAAATTAAATTCTTCCAACAATTTCTCTGATTAATACCTAAATACATTTTCATTCATTTTACAAAAAAAAACTCCCGACTTTTATACTAACACAGATCTTATCTTCAATTGATTTTCTTTGATTTTTTTTTTGTTGCACATGCCACATGCAACAATAGGTAAAACCAACAAATAGCTAAAATAACAACAATCAATGCAGCATTGTCGAAAATGAGTTTGGCGTTGCCCATGGCTAGCAATTAACTATTTGCGTTGAAAGAAATCAACGGAAGCCGTTTATTTGCTCAGCCTTAATTACAACAAACAATTACAGCCCAAAAAAAGAAAAAAACAGAACAAATACACACAAATATTTATATATATATAGATATTTATATGTGTGGAAAATAGTAAAGCAACCCCTCAAAAGCAGACAAGTCGCGCAGTTAAAATAACAATAACTAAAAGGGAAATAACAAACTAAAATGACAATGAGAAAATGAGGGAAAAACAATCGAGAAAAGAAGAAAAAATTTGTGTATTTTTTGTTCCTTTTTTGTACATTTAGTTTAAATATGAGGGCAAGCCCCACGCGCTCTCAACATTACACACGTATTTAAGTTAATTATATTGCAACAACAAGCATTGCAGTCAAATGATAATCAACACAAGCAACAAGCACATAACTCAACTTAAATATACCCTGTAATGTTCTATCTATACATATATACATACTATATATATATAATTTTAATGTTCGAGGAACATAACCTTTACATAAGTTTGGTATTCAAGAGCCCACATACCAAATTTCTCAACTCCAGTTCGAAGAGTTCTCGAGTTTCCATCGACTTCTTATATTTATAAAAGATGCCTCTTACATATTAAAGCAAAATCTTAACATCCCCATTTCGTATCAATTGCCACCATAGACAAACTATTTTAATATCTTCAATCTAGTTTCCGTAGTTCCAGAGTTCTGACAGTTCCTATTATAGTTATAGATTGACTGGCCTCTTAGATTTATATAAATACATTCCACTTCCAATAAAAACAGGGTATTTTAATTTCTCTATTCTGATACTCG